TGACAAACTACTAAAAACATTATAAGTAAATACTTGGTTTCTAACTTCCCCTTTGCTGTTCTCCAACAAATATATAATATTTATAAACATTTAAAATTTTCATATATTTCTGATTTAAGTTCTTTGCTCAATTCTTTTTCCCCTTAAAAACCATACTCTAAATGCTTAGGTTTGCCTTGTTGCATAATATATTATATGGAAGCCGTTCTCCCTTAAATCTGGTCAAACTTCTGTTGTGAATGTTGCTGTTAATTTTGCTAGTGCTGCATATTCTCCAAATTTAGGTTCCCAAACTGGTATTGTTGATAACAGATCTGTTTTCTAATCCTCTCCTAGGTTTATCCTCCCAGCTGTGAACAGGTATCTTCATAAATTGTAATATTTTTTGTTGATCTGTCTTGGAATTACATTTAGTTAAAACAAAATGTGGTTTCAATTCAAATTTGGCTTCTAAAATTCTCTGAATTTTATCTGTGTATTTCTTTCCAGTACTTTTGAATTTTTTTACATGTCCACCACATATGGTAAAATATTCCTTCTGTATCATAGCATTTCTAGCATTTATTACTATATGATTTATCTATCTTGGCAGTTATTGACTGAGCTGTATACCACCTATAAAATATTTTGTACCAGTTTTCTCTTAAGTTGTAACTTGGAGTGAATTCTATAGATTTGCATTTAGTCACACCAGGCATTGGTTGCTCTAAAAGAAGCAATGGTTCCATTTGGTAGCTGGAAGAAACCTAAAATAATAGTAAATAATAACAGTTTCGCTTCTTTGTGACATTAGGGACAGAAAGTCAAATCTTGCTATGAGGCACAAAACTGTGAAAGTTGAAATCATGGTTAAATGTTAGACTATGATCACTTTGCTTTTCTGATTTGCTCACTCATTTATACTTATTTTTGTCTGCATGTTAGATTTTTTTTAATAAAGCTCAAAGTGGGTTTGGGTTCTCTCTCTCTCTCTCTCTTTGCAAATCTCAATTTTTCAGCTTTCAATCTAACTTCTCAGCAGCATTGTGCCAGCCCCATAGAAATGTACAGAGGAAAGCTTCTTGGGTTTGTTGCCTGTACTTTTTTCATTTCTTATTGGCAGGTCGAAAGATCACCAGGAAATCCCAAGGCTGAAGGCAAGACTGGGAAATTGAAAAAACATCCTGGAAGACGAGAGTGGTAAATCACTTCTGTATTGTTTCCAAGCAACTAGATGGATTTGTCCATATAGCCACCAGGAATCAAACTTGACTTGGGGGAGTCTTTAGCCTTAATTAGACATCTCAGGGAAGTAATGCGTTCCCCAGTGGTTCCTGGTTTAATTAAGGTTATCATCTCCTTGCCTTTGTCTGCAATTTCCACTCACCGACCACAGGAACAAACTTAAATCATGGGTTATTTTAGGTGTTGTTTTCTTTTAGTCCTGTTCCCCCAGCCACCACACCAGGATTTCAGGAGTGGGATGAACCAGGCATCCTTTCCTATCACCTTGCAGACCACCCCTTGCAACAAAACCCAAAACAACACAGCTCTTCCAACAGCAACACTCACTACTCTGAAAACAAAAGTTCCCTTTCTGCAATCAACCTTGCAATTGCAGCAGGAAGAATCTCAGACAAATAAGATAGCAAGCACCCCAGAAGGCATCAACTGATCCATAGGGGCTCAGTTTGCTTTCATGTTGCAACTCTGCAACATCTGGAAAGGCCTTGAATATTGATTCAGGTCCTGGTGCCAGAATCTAGGCAGTTCATCCTAAGAGACCAGAGTTAACTTCCATCCCCTGCTGGAGATTTTGCTGTGATTTTCACACACAGAGTTAAGAACACACCAAGTACCAACAGCGAGCTAGGAAAAGGATTGTGAGGGAGAGTTGGGTCCTCCAGAGATTTGGAGCTCAGCCTAGTTCTGGGCTTGAGGAAGCACTTCTGGCCCACCCCACAGGTTCTGTTGGACAAAGACAGCTCATAACTTCAGCTTCCAATAATCTTTTTGCTCCAGAATTTTTGATCTCCCCATTGGGAATTTCACAGCCTATTTTAAAACTGCCTTTTTCTTTTGCTCCTATTATAAATTGTGGTTTAAAAAAAAGTCCTTCCATGCATACTTCTTTTAAAACAAGAGTTGTGGGAGAAAATAGTTGAGTTTTGCCATAAATTTTCAGGCCAGGGAATAAACATAGATAAGCATTTTTTTCCCTGGGCCTTGACAAGAGGGACAAAGGGATTCTGCCAGAATTTTTTTATCTCCCTAAAGACTATGGAAACCCTGCCAAGCCTTTTGTCCTGGCTATTTTTAATAGACACAGATATGAAGTGACTTTACTTTAATATAGTATTATGTCATGTGTCATTTTGAATATGATGTTCATTAGTTGAAAGTATGGTCATAATACATCTAACCTTTTATAGGGAAAACGGAAAGATTCCAGTTCAAAGGCAATAGATAAGCAAAATATTGTAATGCACCCTTGGGTGAGAAAGTAAGGTGAAAGATACGTTACCTCATGGCAAAATCTTTTGCTGGGGGGTGGGGATCTCATGCAGCAGTAGTCTATTTAATGTGATATAAACTAGTCCAAAATGTCTTTAGTACTGCATTTTAGTTACCTTATTAAGTATTCTGAGCACTGGTAGAAAAATGGGGAAATGGTAGGTTTGGGGACTGGATTGATTTGCATGGTAAATATTTATTGGTCTTTTAATGCTCCTAGAAGTTCAACAGCAATCTTCTAGTTTTTCTCAACAGGCACACAATTTATTCCAGATGCTCTGCATCTATGGGGGAGATGGGTGGCATACAAATTTGAAAATAAATAAAAAAAATAAAAATAAAAATTTGAAGCCAAAACATTGGCCCAGCTTGTACATGGGGCCCAGTTAACACCAGGCTCCAATTATATTAAACTAGAAAAGGTGTAAACTAATTTTATATGAAAGATATTTCAGGTAGCAAGAAGTGTTTCTAGCATAGCCCTGTGGCGGGAAGCTGGGCTTTTGAGGAATGAAACAAGGACATAGTTATGTATATTTAAATACTGGCTAAATTTTAATTTTTAACCACAAGGTTGACTTCTTTTTTTTTTGTTCAATCTACCTGGAAGTAACAAATTGAAGGTTAAATTCATAAAGTGGGCTTTACACCAGAAGTACTGGGACAAGAACACCAGAAGTACTGGAACAAGAACAGGCCATGGCAACTCTTAGACAAAGAATCCTTGACATGGAATTGCAAAATGAATACAGTAGAATATCAGCTGGTCTAAAATGGGGCCATAGTAAGACCTGCTTCAAAGTGGCCCAATATCTTAACCAGCTTACAGTTAATGCATTTTGTAGGGCCTTCACGCCATTGTGTTTTGATATCTTGCCATCAGCTGTACTAGAGGGCAGGTTTCTGAAGATTTGCTATGCAGAAAGGATTTGCCCTTGCCAGTCTGGGCAAATTGTTGGCCCCTGGGCTACTGTATTGCAACTTCTACAGAGATACACATACAGAACTTTTCACATCTTTCATTAGGTCATAGACATCCATGATGAATCCTGGACATCCAGATGAACCTTATGTAAAATTCCTTCTGGCAGATGACCCTAAAATAACACAAGCTGTTGCAAAGTTTGCATATGCATTATTAATGTCAAATTAACTTTAGGCTGATTTTTGGCTGTACCGCATAAAGTATTCGAGATATCATTTTTATTTTATTTTACTATTTAGTATTTTTTCTTTTCTTTTTCTTTACTCTTTTATCTGTCTTATTGTTCTGATATCTATGTCGGTGACCTGTAATCAAGTAACTGAATATCTCGTCTGGATAAATGTGTTCTGCTCCTCTCAAAGCAAATCAATGATAGACTACTTTCCTTGTTCTTTACCTCTTGCTTCTTTCTTTCCATGCCCATCCTCTTCTGTGTTGACAATGCTGATCTTCTTCACAGAATGGAAGGTGGTAGCTGTGGTTGCTGAGCCAGCATGAATTGGGAAAGTGGTTTCCATCACCTCACTGCTGTGATATGTGGCACAAAGTGGCAACTGAACTTTCTCAGATGCTGAATCTTTGCCTGCTGAAGGTCTGAGGCTGGCATAGGGCTCCTTGCTCTCCAGGAGTTGTGCCCTCTGCGGCCCTGTAGCTATACTGGCTGCAATCTCTGGCTCCCTTTCCACTTGGACAACTTTGACTGCATCAACCCGAATGGGGGCATCCCACTGCTCTGGACCTTCTACTCTTACTGCCCATTCCATCAGGCCCTCATCCCTTGTTGAAGTTTCTTTGTCTTCCTTCTCCCTGCCCTGATGATCCAGTTTCTGATGGGCAGCCTGGAGATCCTGAAGTGCTCTCTTCAGTTGTGTTTCTAGTACAGCAATTTTGGTGGATAAGGCCTGAATAGCTTGGCATTGCTGCTCCTCCTCTGGGGAAGGCAAACCCAACTCCTCCTCCCTGACTGCTACCCCTATGTCACATGTTCCCACTTCCACATTCAGCTCTCCATCTTCAGCTGTCCTTCCCACACCCACTGACCTCACTTCCTTCTTATCCAATTTACCCTTCATGCCAGACCTTGTACTGCTGTCCTCTGTATTTCCACCTGCCCCCTCCTCAGGGATATCTATGTAGAGCTCCCCTCTTGATTTGCCCTTGCCAAATCCTCCTGGATGCCCTAAGAACTTCTGGCTTTTAAGCTGAACACTAAGCTGCCTTTTCTCTTCCTGTAGCACTGAGATCTTCACCTGAAGCACTGGGATCATCTTGACCTGCTCTTCCAATTGGCGCAACTTCTTCAAGGCCACAGCCATCTGCTCACGGACATGTTGAAGATGTCCTGGGGTTGGCGAGACTGGAGTGGACAATCCAGAACCAATTGGTGTAAATTGTCCAGGAGCACCTTGCTGTGAGCCATTGTAAGAAGTCTGACGGGAAACACCCTGGCTTCCAACCAAAGAACTTGTTGAACCAGATACACTGTTGTGGAGACTTCCTAGACCACTTGCTGTGGGTGTTTCCCCATCTAAGTCTGCCTGGTCTTCTAACTTCTTTCTAGCATCGAGCAAAGTTTTCTCCACACGGGCATTGAAACTGCTTGGAATTGCATTAGTGTACTGTGGGTAGAAGCTACGGCCACAATAAGAATAGGAGGAGTGGCGACTGTCCATACTGGCATTGGAACAGAGGGACTCAGTGGATGTCCACCATGAACCAGTGTAGCCATAGCCCCGTGGCAATGAGCTGTAGCGTGGTCGGCGATGGACTGGAATGCGCTTAATAGTGTGGCCTTTCTCAATGTCATCCACATACTTGAGAAAGTCCAGGTCAAGGCGGTAGCCATAAGGAGTCTCCACTGAGTAAGTTAAGTCTTGCTCCTTCCCATGAAAGATTGTAGCAGAGGCTGGATTGCCCTTTCCTGCAAAGCACAAAAGAGAAAGATCAGCTTAGAACACTTTTCTGTCTGGATTGAAGATGTGCATGAAAGGATCGATCACAGGAAGACTGGGATCACCATGACATAGTTGAACAATGGACGTTTTGCATATCATGGCATGTATTGGCAGAGCTCAGTATAGGCAGATGTAGTCATAGACTCCAGTTGTCTCCTATTTCCATTCTATGAGAGAAAAACATTAGCTTAGAACCAACTGTATTTTTTAAATCTGCCTATTGCATCACACCAGCAATCCTCAGACAAGGGGGACTAGCTTAAATCAAATGACACAGTGTGCTTGTAGCCAGTAAATAGGAAGTCTACATTTTTCCCAATTTTGCATAACTTGGATCTGACTGCCAAACCAACAAGCCTCATTGATTGATTGAGTGATTGCAAAGCTACATCTTAAGAGTGTGATGACTTAATTTTATATTCTCACGCCAAATGTCATAATAGCTCATCCATACCTCAGTACTGATGTAACTTAAGACAGTACAGCTTGCATTTATAGAGCTCCATGTATGGGCAATTCTTAGTCCACAGGCAAGCCTATGCCATTCTCTGTGGACCACAGATCTATCAGCAGCTCTGATCACTTTTCCCCATAGTCCCAATGATCAGCCATCAATGCAGTGATGGGGGAAAGACATTGTTCTGGCACTGTTATTAACATATTTCCAGAAGAGCATAATGTATTCAGATATGCAAAAAGGTTTTTTTAAATGCTCTGCATATACACAAATAGTGTTCCAGAAGAATACAAATACAAGTCAGAAATACTTCTAAAATGCTAGATAGAAGCAGGGAATGGTGACCATTAGCTTGCTTTTACTGTAAACTGACCTTAGATGCACTTCTTATTAAGTTGCCAAGCTTGGGCATCTAGCTGGCTACTATTAGAAAAGTGTAGATAGGATTTGGTTTGTTCTAGCAAGAAAATGATTTTATTCTTGTAACTGAGACTTTCTCCCTTTCTCTAGTCCAAAGATACAACAGATCTGTGTAGCATTTAGGGATTCTAGAATCCTTCCAGATGGAGTTTTTATTGTCTGTGAAATCTTATTTAGTGGTCCAGTCAGAATTATTTCCCATTTGTAACCCTCCCCTATTTTTGCCACCACAAATGGAATAGTTGTATAATACATTGAATTGACAATGAAAAGATCCTTCTGTCAGGAAACACTTTGATTCCCAACGTATATACAAGGACTACCAATATACAGGTAGACCTTGTTTAGCAACTGTTCGCAGTTACAAGGATGATGAAAAAGTAACTTTGCAACCAATCCTCACATTTACTACCTTCGTAGGTCTGTAAACAAAGGAAAGCTGAAGTAAGATCATAACCACAGTTGCGGTGTCACTTAGGGACCACTTCGCTTAACGATCAAGTTGCCAGTCCCAATTGCAGTTGCTAAATGAGGACTACCTGTATTCTATAGATATTGTACTATATCACTAAATCCTGACTGGATTTTACAGGCATCAAGTGGTAACATATTTGCATACACAAGAAAATAGAATTTATTCCACATCCCTTCCCATGCTATGAAATAGGAGAGCTTTCAGTGAGAATAATTCAGAGATTGAATGTGGCAGTGTGATCCAAGATTACCATCTGGGCTGGCACAAAGGATGATGTTATAGCACTGTGCCCCCTGCTGATGCTATCTACAAGTAGTAGTCTTCACATACACCTACCTGGGAAAGCAGTCTCCATGTGCAGAACCTGGGCCATTCTTTCCACTTGATCTAAATTCAATGGGCACGTTCAAAACAGCCCAGAACCCTTCTCACAGCACATAGGAAACCCACATTGCCTGAAAATAGAAATCAGATGCCACTTTAATCCACATATTCTTAAAACAATCAGCCCAGAGTAAGGGATTGTTGTTCTGCTTGCTGCTTAAAACGTTTGTGGGAATGACTAATAAGAATTTGACAATACTTTCAGAAAAAGGCCCTCTGTGATAATTACTTCCAGTAACACTTTTAGTGAGTAATCACCACCAATCTTGTGCTATATAGGTGCTACACTGAACTTAAAAATGGCACAACAGTTCTTGCCTATAGTGTTTACAATTCCTAACAGGGTTATTCCCACTGTAATTATCTTCAAGTTACGGAGAACAAAAGTAACAACAAATGTATAAATGTTCTAAAAGCTATGCAGTAAAAATGTGCAAAACTGAACATAGCTCAAAAGATTAATTGCTTATCCATAACAATACACCCTATCAAAAACTGTATGTTGCTTGCTTGCTAATTAGAAGAAATATTAATACAAAATTCTCACACTATTCCACCCTTCATCTTCAATACTGTTGCCTGTTATCTAAAAAGCTGTACTTCTCCTATGCTTGTGGAATATTGTGGAAATTGTTTTAAATTTTTAAAGTATAAGTCGCCACCACGGGGGCCTAGCCACCTTTTCAAGTTGTTTTAGGGAGCATATCAGTGTTGATAAATTAACAAATAAACATATTTTAGGTTGCCAGTGGAGGAAAATCATGCATCTTCAAATTCCCTGTATGAAAAGCTATCTGCTCATTTGTAAACATGATAATGGTAAGGAGATTAAAGCTTTCAGTGTTATAGTCTCATATTGAAAGAATTAACAAATACAGTATCCTCTCCAGGATACTGATGACCACCTTTCAATTTACCATGGTCTTTTCTCTGAGCAGCTGGGCACCATTCCAAAGAGAAAAAATAGCCTGCATTCAACCACCATTTTTATTCATGAAGAGGCTCACGCAAAGGCCACAAGATGGCTTTCTTTCTCTTTCTTTCTTTCTTTCTTTCTTTCTTTCTTTCTTTCTTTCTTTCTTTCTTTCTTTCTTTCTTTCTTTCTTTCTTGTTTCTATGCAAGCTCAGTAATGGCATGTTTTTGCAACTTGGAACTTCTTTACAGCTAAGTTGCCTCCAAATAGGGACAAACAAGATTTCTGGAGTCTCCCAGGGCTTTAGATTTTTACATTTTTCATATGAGACTCTTTTTAGGATGCTGTCTGTAATTTGAATAGCTCTATATTTTTTATTTCTTTTTTTCCATTTGGTGTCTTGCATGTATATCTCAAAGCTAAAAAGATTTTAACATTCTCTCTTTCCTTTTTTTTTAAAAGAAAGTTTGATTTATTAATCTTGTTCATCTCCCATGGGAAGGGAAGTGATCCTGCTAGCCACATGCCTTGACAATACCCAGCCAGGAGATGGCGCTATTTCTCTCTCTCTCTCTCTCTCTCTCTCTCTCTCTCTCTCTCTCTCTCTTTTTAATATGCCAGCAAATAACAGGAGGTATGGGAGCCCTCTCTCTCTCACACACACTCACTCACTCAGGTTAGGGGAAAGAGAGCAAGTAAGGTGCTTCCTAGAAGATAGGTAGAGGCAGCAAGAAGTAACAGGCTGCACCCGAGGCAGGGAGCTGAGCTAAACTCTAGACTTGAGGGCTTCTGGGCAAGGTGGGCTGAGACCACCAACCTTTCATCCTACAGGCTCAGCCCTGCTGCTGCTATAGTTACAAAATAAAAATTCTTAATACAAAATTAAACAGTTGGGAAATAGAGTACGACATATCAACAGTTACCTTAGAATCCAGAAAATATATGCTATAGCATGTATTATAAGCCTCACTGCCTTTTTGAAAAATTATTTACCTGAGTCCACATAAATTAAAAAATGCAAATCTAAGTCTTGTTCATATTGATATGGGTGTGATTTTACCCATAGTTAACCCTTCCCAAGTTAGGTCAATATGTAAGACCTTTTTACTCTCTCAGATTATGCCTATCTGCATCTTGGCTGTCTTCAGCAATAAAATTTCTTCTAATTGATGAAACAATGTAACGGTCTAGGTAATTAAACTGCACAGTGGTTAGATGTAGGGAATTATGCATTCCCTAGAAAGAGTGTGGTCTGCATATTGTTTAACAACTGTTTAAGCCAAATGTATGGACAATTTTTCCAAGTAAAATTAGATTAAAAACATAATAAACAAATACTCTATCAAATACAATAGGTAATTTGAGTGGATTATTCAGTCAGTAAGAGTGTTTTAAGTGGACCTTACTTAACTAGGATTTCTGTCAGGGGCTATAAAATTGTAAAAAAGATGTTTCTTCTATATTTAATGGAAGAGGATGTAATGAATGATTGGGATATCCAGCCTGAAGGCCACGTGTTCAACTCGGGCAACTCAACCAATTTACCCAAATTTCATCATATAGCATATTTGCTTCTGTTAGCAAATAAGGGGGAAATGGCAGCTGGGGGCAACAATGGGGAAATGGGGATAAAAAGGCCCTGCCCCACATCCAAGAACTGATTAGGAGCTCCCATAATAGTAATAAAAAAGAAGGAAACTCCCAGGACGTGGGCCATGTTGCTTCTGGCCCAAAATCACACACCAGAATGGCTCAGGCAAGTGATTTTTGTTGTCGTTTTTTTTTTTTTGTGGGGGGGAAGCATTCTCCACCACACCCAAGTGCAATAGGCTTGGCTTGGAGATGCAGAAGCTGGGAAGCACACACCTTTCTCTTCTCCGGGGGAGCAGAATAGCTCAGTCTGTGTGTCAAGAACAGGACAGCTGTTGCTCCTCTCTTTCACTCTTCCCATCCCTCCCCAAGGCACAACCTGAGGTGACTGCCACCATTTGCCTGTCAGGCTGGCCTGCAGCCTCAGCCCTGGACATAGGAGAGGATTAGTCACAATGGGCTACCTTTAAAATGCCAGGTTTAGAGGGTTGCCTTGTCTGTCTGTCTGTCTTTGATAAGTCAGGGCACTATGAGAGAAGCAGATGCTGAATCCTGTTGGGCAGATGCAAGAGTTGAGGGCTGAGAACAGAGACCATCTGGGTTTCCATCTGGCAGAGAGCCTGAGCGCTGGACAGGAGAGCTGAATGGGACTTTGTTTTCTACGGAGCGGCATCTCTCAAATTTATGGGGGAATTGTGGCAAAGCCATAAACATTCCTGTCTCCTTATCCGTTTTCTCATTGCGGGTTTCACATTCTTTGGCTGCAAAGCACAGCCACGAGGAAGACTGGATAGGGAAGGACGCTTCCTCCCAGCTTGTGTGTTCTCCCCTCCCTGACCCATTTCAAATTCCCCATCGCTGGGTCAGCAGATAGTCTGGGTCTTTCTCCATCCAAAGCCTCAATCCTCTAGACAGGGCTGCTGCCTCGGCCTGCTCCTGCCACCACACTCCCTCAGCAACTGCAACCAAGGCCTGGGCGGAGCAGGATTGCAAAAGCCCTTCCAGTAAGAATTCTGGGCCAGAGCGGAGGAGTGCTGCAAAATGTATACAAAGAGGAATGGGAAGCGTTGTGACTCCCTCTGCAGCTGGCCAGGGATGAATCCCTAAAAAGAAATTTGCTGGCCTCAAGCCTGCCTTGCATGTTATACACACTGCTCTGGAAACTAATTGAAGTAGGAGGATGCTGGACAGAAAAAATGCCCTCTGTATATACTCAGGAACTCTTCTTCATAGCTTCTAATTTTTTAAGAGTTGTCCTGGGCACAAATGACAAGTTCTGGAGTTAAAGCCTGGAGAGCTACATGATTTACTTGTTGGCTAGGGTGAGAGGAGTTTGCATTTGGCATCAGATTGGGGAAGGCTGACTTGGACAATTCACCACCACAGATGACCCGAGATAGCCTTTTAAAAGGATGTGGTAAATTCACGAGGACAGGTCTGTCAGCAGCAGCTAGTCTTCAGTTATCTGAAGCAGCTTCTTTCTTCATTTTCCCCCATGCAGGCAGCTGGAAGAATAAAGGTGTGAAATGTAAAATGGACAGCTGCCTTTCAACCAACAGTTGCCCATGGCTCATATTTCTACCATAGGAGAATATGGATGCTCAATGCCAGTGGATAGAGGAAAACAGGGAATGCACACAACAGCCCTTTTTCCTGCCCCCACGTAAGGTCCTTACATCTAAAAGTTTAATTAAAAAAAAACCGATTGTACCTCTATGTACATCGATAATTCTTTGATGTCTTGCCCTTTTCCTTAGAATGGCTGGTTCATACATTTTATGTTCTAAGCATCGGTGGATATCCAACTATGAAGCTGGGTTAGACAGATCAAGCAAAACAGTCGAGGTGTTTTGTTACCTAGCTGAGTTCTTTTCTGATACCAAATGTGGTTTACATTAGGGCTGCACAACCTACAAGGTGGCCTCTGAGCCCTCCCCCTCTTGTTTTTTGTATTCCCCCTTTGATCAGGCTGTTGAATTTTGATTGTGCAATTTTTGAAAAGTGGCAGTGTGGTTTCTCAACATTTTAGCCAAGGAATACAAAGAACCTTGTTGTATAAGCCTTAATGTAGTCTTAACCCAGTTTAAAAAGGATTCCCTCCCCCCAACCAACTCTCTCCACACCCCCAGTCAGGAAACTTGAGCAGATTCCATGAGCTTTGCTCTTCACCCCTGTCATTGTAACTTCCCCCAAAACAGTTAAATGTGGTTCCCAACAACATAAAGGGTGTCCACCTACAGTGGGGCAAAAAAGTATTTAGTCAGCCACCAATTGTGCAAGTTCTCCCACTTAAAAAGATGAGAGAGGCCTGCATTGCCAACAAAGGATATATAACAAAGTATTGATATTGACCAAATACTTATTTTCCACCATGATTTGCAAATAAATTCTTTAAAAATCAGGGATTTTTGTACTTACGATATCTAACTGCCCTAAATATTAATTGGGGGTAACTGGGATTTTTGTACTTACGATATCTAACTGCCCTAAATATTAATTGGGGGTAACTGGGATTTTTGTACTTACGATATCTAACTGCCCTAAATATTAATTGGGGGTAACTGGGATTTTTGTACTTACGATATCTAACTGCCCTAAATATTAATTGGGGGTAACTGGGATTTTTGTACTTACGATATCTAACTGCCCTAAATATTAATTGGGGGTAACTGGGATTTTTGTACTTACGATATCTAACTGCCCTAAATATTAATTGGGGGTAACTGGGATTTTTGTACTTACGATATCTAACTGCCCTAAATATTAATTGGGGGTAACTGGGATTTTTGTACTTACGATATCTAACTGCCCTAAATATTAATTGGGGGTAACTGGGATTTTTGTACTTACGATATCTAACTGCCCTAAATATTAATTGGGGGTAACTGGGATTTTTGTACTTACGATATCTAACTGCCCTAAATATTAATTGGGGGTAACTGTGATGAAAATTACAGGCCTCTCTCATCTTTTTAAGTGGGAGAACTTGCACAATTGGTGGCTGACTAAATACTTTTTTGCCCCACTGTATGGCCTCCATGAAGTTAAACTCAGAATCAGTAAATCTCTGTAAAACAAAGAAAGTGTTTTAATTTCCTGGAGACTTTTATTTCATCTGGACATGTGAGTAGACAAGACTGCTACTCTAGAGAGTCTCCTTTTCACCCTTGTGTAAAAATATTCAGTGCCAAAGAAAGCTAATAATTATAATGGAAGGTTCTGCTCTGAAGTCCCAAATATCAGTTGCTGCTGCTTTCCTGCCCTGCCTTGGATCTCTCCAGGGTGTCTGTGGAAAACAGGATGCTGCAACCAGCTGTTGATCCAGATGGATTTTTTGTGGGTTTTTTTTTTTTTTTTTAACAATGCATAGGTTGTACCAGCATTTATGCCAGAGCAAAATTCCAGTTCATTGAGGCTTTTTTTTTTTTCATATGTAAGCCACAGTTACCCCCAATTAATATTTAGGGCAGTTAGATATCGTAAGTACAAAAATCCCTTCATTGCTACTGAAAAGAACAAAATTAAGAAATCATGAATGTTTCCTCTTCACTCTTCTGTGGATTTGTCTGGGGGAGAGAGAGAGGGAGGGAGCGGGGAATCTGCTGGGGTGGAGGAAAGAAAGCCCTTACTTGGAATGCCAGCGACAGGCCTCCATTGCTCTATAGAGACAGATGAAGAAGAGCAATGCTTGTTAGAGACCAGGATTCAGGGTTGGGTTGAGACAAGCGTCCCTCAATCAATCAAATCTTTGTTATGGTCAAAGACCAGCATAGACTAGCATCCCCGTCAATGGGAAAACCATCTCCTATAAGCTTTGCAGAATTTCAGTTTTGCAAATGAAAAATCTTCCTGCAATTCTAGATACATTGCAGCTGAGCCAGAAATAAATTGGCATAGATCTTAAGAGCAGACCAGAATGGAAGATCCTGCAGGTGCAGAGCTGTTTCTGAAATGGTAAAAGATCCTTGTGTGGACATGTCCTTAATTAAATTCTAAGTGTGGGAGAAAGATGGTCACATGGCTGCTTAGAAACTAAAATCTTCTTTATTTCCTTCCTTTAACCACATTGCCATGGCTAGAGGTTGGCATAGGTTTTAAAATTCAACCGGTCAAGTAGTCATTAAATGTTACGGCTACAATTCAGAGCACCATTTCAAAGGCATAACTTGGGATTCAACCACCAATTCAAATGGTAAGACTGAGAGGACTCTGGACTTAGCAAAAGCCAGTTTTCACTATTCTAAGATGTTGTTTTATGCAAACAAGCCAGAAGATGAGTTTCAGCCATGTTGCCATGGACAGTGGCTAGCAGGCACAGAAATCCACATGCATCGTAACTCCTACTTGACAGCAATTTGCACTTTTTAAGGTGCTTGAGCCCACATGCTAACACCTACTTTGGCTGTTCCTACACAGTTGAAAATGGGCATATCCCCTGAAAAAGAAAAGAATTCTCAATGGGCTCAGTGTTTCCATTCAACAGCTTTTCTTTGCAAGGAACAGCTGGTTCATTTCATTTGCACTGCATGAAAACAGCTGGCAGCACATGTTCACTACTGACACCCGAGAAAAGCCAGATCCCAGACCCAATTCTCCTGGGAATTGAGGGAAAGGACACCGCTGTGCTGGGGCTTCAATCTCAGGGTCTTGCTGGAATGACTCCATTGCTGGGACAGGCATGACCGTTCTTTTTAAAGAAACCATATGTGATCCTTTCTCAATTTGCCTTTTCGAGGTTGGCAAAAATGTTCTCAGGCTCTTCAGGAAGGGGTTAGTTTTAACGAAAAAGTGATTTGGGATACTGCCAGCCATTATATCCATATTATCATTGCTTGCAAGCAAGGAGACTACCCAGATTGGGAAAGGATTAATCTGGATATGGGAAATCTTCTGAAACTCTTTCTGCCTCACCTTCCATCTTTGAGATGCTACACTCTTCACCTCCCACCCCCACCCCAAGTGCACTGAATGCAAGCCAGCAAAGAAACTGGGTGAGAGGGACAGAGATAATCTGTCTGACAGACCCTGTCTGGCAGAGACACCAGGAACCCTTTCAACTTTGTCTGTAGCATCCTGAACAGAAGAAGCAAACAAGTGGCAGATAAATAACGCATGTACAAAGAAGGGCTTTTAAAAAACCTTATTCTTAGTCATGAATAACTAGAAGACAAACCTACAATGCCATGCTGCACTCTCCAAGACAAAGGAAAGATCCAGGAATACTGGATTTACCATTCTTTTTGTGATCTCAAGACTTCAGTTGCCTTTCCAGACAAAAACATTCAGTCACCTCTCCTACCCTATCAGAATCAGACTAAGATGAAGTCGTAGTTTAGCATGAAGTGAGCCCTTTGGTGGTCAAATAACATTGTGACCAGGAAGGTTTTAAGCATGTCACATCTCAATATACACCTGTCGTTTCTGTGAGTGTGGGTCTTTCATTTCTTGGAAACTGACAAGCCATGACAAAACCTGACCCAAACAGCCTAGCATTTTGCACTCACGCCCTTCCCTAGAGGAAGGGACTTCAATTGCCTGGGAACTATGTCTGTGATTTAAACAGCATAAAATGGGCCACAAAGAAACCCTAACCCTCTTTGCTGGCTGGTCTGTCTATGATGAAGAGAAGGTGGATTTTTTTTTTCTGTAACCTGCCAGGAAGAAACCAGAGAGTCCCAGTTAATTATCAATTGCCAATTAACTCTGGTCAGTCTCACCGCTGTTTGATTTGTTGGGCTACTTAATGCACAGAAAGAGCTCAAAGGAGGAAAGACAAGGAATAGGTTCATGAACAGTCAGTCAGAACCAGGTCTCAGGTGCAGGTTTTACTGAAATCCGAAGGATTGGGAGAAGGCCAGCGGTCTGGAAATGGTGCTCTTTCTTTGGCTCTGAGCTCTTATCTCTCTTGCCTGCTCTTCCCAAAAACACTATTATTGCTAACAGGATCTTTGGCCCAACCGCCTGAGAATAATCCTCATTCTCTGCAATGTCATTTAGAAAGTATCTGATCTTAGCAACATATTTAGTCTCATATCTGCAAAGCAAAACCAGGGAAAGAGTACTGTTTTCCAAGCACGCCAATAAAGACAAAATTTTTGCTTTTTTCCCCCCCAGAATTGTAGCCAGGCAGATCTGTAACTCCCAGCAAAATTCCATGTGGTTTGGTCACATACATCCCCGTACCACTGTGGGGTCTCTGGAGAGACTGACAGGGCAGTGATGCTGCAATACAGTTACAAATTTCATGCCTCTACACCATTTTACACAAGACCGACAGGCATTTGACCACACAAAAGCCTTCAGTTAAGAAAAGTATATATATAAGGAACTAGCATGCAAAACTCAGCAGAAGAAAGGATCACACATCATATGGTAGATTGAGAAGAAGCCTATATATGCTCTTGGGCAGAGCTTTAGAAAAAATAAATTAAAGGAAATGCAACTCAGCAAGGAGAGATTGATTTTAATGTCAAAATTTGCTTGTTTTGTAGGAGAGACTGATTCT